GCATAAGGGCATAAAGATTGACAAGAGGCCATTGCAAGGTACTGGCAATTACAAAGTCACTACCTCCAAAAGTTCAGCTTTAGAGGGATGGTATAAAGAAACAATTGTGTCAGGTTGAGTAGTGATTAAGTATCTATCTCCTTTATCTCTATTAGTCCCATAATTCCCAAAAGTCATACATTAGTGTAAAAGTAAATTATAGCTTTGAAATTTTTCAATACACTCTTTTTCAAAGGGGATGGTAATGTACACTTAGCAAGTGCAAAAATATGGTATCTTTTTGTTTTGTTTTTAATTTATTTATTTGACAGAGACAGAGATAGCGAGAGCAGAAACACAAGCAAGGGGAGTGGGAGAGGGAGAAGCAGGCTTCCCGTCGAGCAGAGAGCCCAATGCGGGGCTGGAGCCCAGGACCCTGGGATTATGACCTGAGCCGAAGGCAGATGCTTATCGACTGAGCCACCCAGGCACCCCGGTATCATTGGTTCTTAAGGAGCCAAGTATTAGCAGTCTCAAATGTCACTGAAAAGAACACCTCCATTTCCCCAGTAGCCATGTCCAAGATCTATTTTTGTTTTTAATGATTTCTATACTGTACTTAAAGCATAAGCACCAAAAATAGAGTAATAAACCTCCATGCCTAGTATGAAATAAATCCAGAAAATGCAAATCAAAAGATAAAAACAGATAATCAAGACAGGCAAAGAAAACAGTATTTTATCCTCAATCTGGTGTTTACAGAATTAAATAGCATTCTTACATCAATATTAAACCTAGTGGTCCTTAATTCGTTTACTAAAAAACGAGCTAAGGGGCACCCGGCTGGCTCAGTTGGTGGAGTGTGTGACTCTTGATCTTAGGGTTGTGAGTGTGAGCCCCACTCAAGTAGAGATTACTTTAAAATCTTTTAAAAAATAAATAGGGGCGCCTCGGTGGCTCAGTCATTAAGCATCTGCCTTTGGCTCAGGTCATGATCCCAGGGTCCTGGGATAGAGCCCGGCATCGGGCTCCCTGCTCAATGGGAAGCCTGCTTCTCCCTCTCCCACTCCCCCTGCTTGTGTTCCCTCTCTCACGGTCTCTCTCTGTCAAATAAATAAATAAAATCTTCTAAAATATAAAATAAATGGGCGCCTGGGTGGCTCAGTTGGTTAGGCGACTGCCTTCGGCTCAGGTCATGATCCTGGATTCCCAGGATGGAGTCCTGCATCAGGCTCCCTGCTAGGCGGGGAGTCTGCTTCTCCCTCTGACCCTCCCCCCTCTCGTGCTCTCTCTCTTCCATTCTCTCTCAAATAAATAAAATCTTAAAAAATAAATTAATTAAATAAAAGTTTAAAAAAAACTGAAAATAGAGTTGCTGCTCCAGCTTGGACCCTACAAGCAGATAGGACACTGGTTATGTGACACTGAATTCCAATCAAACCTCCGTCAAGTACTTCTTGGTTTCCCCTGACAAGAGATCAACAAAACCATTTTCAAAGGTAAGTACGCCCTAAAGGTAAGTATGTAACGAAGCCATCAATCAAAACATTTTCTCCTGAGTTTGAGCCTGTCTTTCTGGAGGAAGAGCAAACTAACATTCAGCTGCCCTAATTTTCCTTTCAAAGGGCAATTTTGAAGGGATTTGTCAAAACACCCTATTCATCAGACATACCCTATTAACCAACCAACCAACCAGACAGTAAATACAAAAAACCCTAAAGCCAAGCAAACTATACCTGGTCACAATGGCTTTTCTGTTGTCAAGTGGCTCAATTTCCAATTTAAAGGTAAAACTACTGGGACATCTTCACCAAACCACCCCCCCACCACCACTTTCCCCCCCTAAATGTTTTCACTCAATGTTAATTTAACAGCCTTCCAGGCAGCTGAGGATTTCCCTCTCCAACATGAGCTCACTGGGCTACGGTGCATAGTGTTTTTGTTTAAGATTTTAGACAGGGGCGACTGGGGGGCTCAGTCCATTAAGCATCTGCCTTCGGCTCAGGTCATGATCCCAGGGTCCTGGGATGGAGCCCCACATTGGGCTCCCTGCTCTCAGGGAGCCTGCTTCTCCCTCTCCTCCCAACTTGTGTGCGCTCTTTCTTGCGCTAATAAAGTCTTTAAAAAAAAAAAAAGGTTTATTTGAGACGGGGGGGGGGGGGGGGGCGCCCATGAGTGGGAGGGGGAAGAAGAGGGAGAAGCAAACTCCCCACTGAGCAGGGGGCCCAACATGCAGGGTTCAATCCCAGGACCCTGGGATCATGTCCTGATCTGAAGGCGACTGAGACACCCAGGCTCCCAGTGGTGTATAGTTTTTTTTTCTTTAATGAACTCATAATGCTTTTGTGGTGGTGGGGGGAGCTTTTATTGTTTAAATAGTTCATTCAAGTCACTCCTGACAGGCCCTGGTTGGCATCTTAGGATAGGAATCCAGATGGACTACAAAGAAGGACAAAAATAAGAGGGATTTTGGTAGGTTTTAGTCTCTGCTGTATGCCCAGCACCTAAAGAAGGCTCTGGTACATGTGGACATCTGGACATAATTGTTTCAAGAATGGATCAGAACCCACATCAGTCTGATTCTTAAGTCTACACTATCTACCACATCAGTTTCTCTGATTCTGATACTAAGAATCATCTGGGGTATTTGTCAAAAACAAATTCTGAGAACCCTCCCTAGGTGGGTTCTAATCGAAGGCCTAGAAATATATCCTTAACAAAGACCCTAAATAATTCTTACCATCCTGCAAATCTAGACCTACAGCACTGTTCTTTCTTCCAGCCTCCTCATTCTTGTCACTGACACAATCCCTCCTCCCCTAATAACAGTACACATTCATCAAGCGCTGTTCTAAGTCTACTTACTCACTTGACACTCATAACTTTATGGGGTAGGTAGGTACTATCACTTTCCCCATTTTTTTTTTTGGTAGGACGAGACTGGTCATTGTGGTTAGGCTGAAAAGGAAGGGGAAAAAAAGTAAAACAGGAAGAGTCCACCTGTAGCTTTAATTCTGTGCTAGGCATGATAAAGGAATGCACCTCCTGAGCAACTTCAAGGGCTTTCCTTGACACTGAGGCAAAGAGAAACAACTCGGTAAATAAGGCCTTTGTTTACTGTTTTAGGTACTCCAAATAAGCACTGCCTCATTCCATTACTACATCTATTATCTGTCTCTAAAAAAATACAAAGCTAAACTGGTAACATCAGTGTTAACAGTAATAGAATATACTGGTGTACTAAGTATTTCTGATATTCTGTAGCTGATGATTTGGCATTTTGGAGTCACAAAGTCATACTAACAGTCCAAGGTTTTATTTTGTTTTGTTTTACAAACACCTCCACCATCAGGCATTTGGGAAATCTATTACAAACCCTCCAGCCACAAGCCTCATCCATGCATTTCGCCTGCTGCTCAATAGGGACCATCCCCACCTAGCTACTTCCCAGCACTTAAAAAAAAAAAAAATTTCGTTCCACTTCTCTGATTCTTCTTGTAACCCCACGTGGCCCTGTGTGGCATGCAGTGCTCCCATCCTCTAGGGAATTGTAACAAACTTTTCCCCCCCCCCCAAAGGCACTTACCACCATGTCTGGCCTCTTACTATACCCAATTAAAATAAATTCTTGGTTAAAAAAGTCTATTATTCAAAATTCTTCTTTCTGAACACTTGCCATCTTTGAACCCTTCAAATACCTACAATCACTAGTTTTAGCACTATTTAAAAGTAAGTGGAGGTACATGAAAATTTTGACGTTTTGTGGGGTTTTTTGTTTTGTTTTTAAAGGCAGACTGCCACGTGCAGCCCCTCATTTGGAGGGGTCTGGAATCTTGGAAGCTTGACTACCCTACATTCTCTTACAGATGGACCTTGAGAACTTGTTTGGAGGTTCTAGCCGGGGAGCACAGCTATTCATATACCCTTGACCCAAGAACAGTCCTCCTCTATCAGGGAAGATCATCCCCTTCGACCAAGTGCACAGCTTCGGGAGGGACGCAGATGGAGGGGTGAGGGAGAACGGGCACACCTGCCTAGCCAGCCAGATCAGCCGATTCAACCCTCTTGAATATTGGGGAGACAGATGTTACAGCTAGATTGCCCTCACATCCGAAAATTAAGTTTCTTGTTGTTTTTGTTTTTTAAGATTTGCAAGGGGGCGGGGTGCAGCCACAAACAGGAGGAGGGGCAGAGGAAAAGGAGAGAATCTCCAAGCAGACTCCCCGCTGAGCACGGACCCTAATGTGGGGCTCGATCCCATGACCCTGGGATCTTGACCTGAGCCGAAACCAAGAGTCGGACTCTTAACCAACTAAGCCACCCAGACGCCCCATTTGGAGGTTTTTTTGAGCAAACATCAATGCACATCAGGCAGCACCAGCCTAACAATGGCTAGGGGCACTGCACCAGCAGGAGCTAAGGGAAAGGCTTACAACACAGATGGAGAAGCAACTCAAAGAAATTCCTTGATTGGCTATAACTTATTGCCTTATTTGAGAAGGCTTAGTTGGCTGTTTGTGATTAGCTATTCTTAAATTCCTAGTTCTTAATTTTGAGGCTTTTAAAGGCATCCACACTAGCTTAGGTTTAGGTTTGCTTATCTAGGCTGCTAAGACATTACAGCCAGCTCAGTAGTTCCTTGTCTAATTACTTGAACAGCCCCGGGGCGCTAGGCCATCCTGGAGAGACTATGTGGAAACCCAAAACCTCAGGGAGTTAATGCTCTAGGATTCATAGTGGTAAGTGAAGTGAGAAAGCCTTTCTGGTATTTCATTTGAATCCCTCACTTTTCTTACCAGTGTTTCACATACACTGGTGTTCAATGATATATGCAGAACGAGGGAATGATCCAGTTCCCTGAAGCATCAGAAGCCATTTTCTCTATCATTTATGACTGAACAGTGGTTTACAGTGAAGAGACTTCCAACGAGCTTATCTCTCCTGATGAAGTTGAAGGAGAGCACTGTTGAATGTGATACAGTAATTCAAACAAACTTCACTGAATAAATAGCCTTACTCACCAATCACGACTTTATGAAGCTCATGAAGTGGGTCCTCACCAGGGGCTGAATCTACACACCTTGATCATGGACTTTCCACCCTGTGGAACTGTGAGAAATAAATTTCTGTTGTTTATAAGCCATCAAGTCTATGGTATTTTCGTTATAGCAGCCCGAACAGACTAAGACATTATGTAAGTGGAAAATGTTGGCTAAGGCTCTTAAGAGTAATGAATTACTCTTCCACCAGAAATTTTAACCAAGTCCTACCCATAAATCTCCAGTTTACATCTCTTGCAACTAAGAAACTGGTTTATATTTTAAATATACACACCCTCTTGGGGCTCCTGGGTGGCTCAATTGTTAAGCGTCTTCCTTCCGCTCAGGTCATGATCCCAGGGTCCTGGGATCGAGACCCACATCGGGCTCCCTGCTCCGCGGGAAGCCTGCTTCTCCCACTCCCACTCCCACTCCCCCTGCTTGTGTTCCCTCTCTCGCTGTGTCTCTCTGTCAAATAAAATATTTTAAAAATAAAAATAAATATACACACCCTCTTACAAGGAGTGACAGGAATCTTTTTTCCTAGTGCCTCACTTTCTTACCTATATAAGGTAAATCAGGTTACCTATATGAAGGAGATGCTACCATTACACACTCCGCATTCATCAGCCTATCCCCTTTTTCTGCCTGTTAGAAGGCAGAGGGTCAGTAAAGTATCCTCCAAACTGAGAAGGCACTTTGAGAAATATATATTTTTTTAAGATTTTTTAATTTATTCATTCGAGACACAGATACAGAAAGAGAGCATGAGCAGGGGGAGAGGCAGAGGGAGAGGGAGAAGCAGGCTCCCCGCTGAGCCAGGAGCCAGACATGGGGCTCGATCCCAGGACTCTGGGACCATGCCCTGAGCCAAAGGCAGACGCTTAACCATCTGAGCCACCCAAGCGCCCCAGGAATATATTTTTTTAATATTTATTTAGTTGAGAGAGAAAGAAAAGAGAATCTCAAAACCGACTGCGCTGAGTGCAGGGAGCCTGACACAGAGCTCCAACTCAGGACCCTGAGATCACGACCGAAGCTGAAACCAAGAGTCCAATACTTAACCAACTGCACCACCCAGGCACCCCCAAAGGCACTTAGAGACCAGAAAACAACACAAGCTACACCATGACTCCTTAGAGTCTTACTCGCGGTAACTTACAGGGAGAATCCGGCAGACAGAAGATGCTGAGCACGATACAGCTACTCTCCGCTAAATCGAGGCCTTCATCCCCACTTTCTGGAGGGCGAGCAGCATGGTGGTGAGGTCACAGGGTGGTTGTCTCAGGTGGTGCCACCTGCGCAAGAGCGCTGGCTCTACTAGTTAGCGAAAGTGGAGCCTTCTGTGCGCCAGCCATCTTTACTATTAGCGAAAGTGGTGCCTTCTGTGCGCCAGCCATCTTTACTAGTTATCTAAAGGGGTGCCCTCTGTGTGTCACTTTAGGGAAGATCAGAACAAGCCTTCCTGCATTCAGGTCAGGGGATGCATTAACCTCCATGGGGCCTGAAACGTGTGGCCTCGAGGGGAGGTCATTGCGAGGGCATGAACGAGATGGAGGGCCAAAGATGGAATCAATGTTGTCAGCACTCCTACCCTGCCCTTAACATTTCTGCCTTTTTAACATAATCCTAATTTTGTTTACCTTCCCCAGATTGTCTTTCAGGAGAGGCTTGCCCCTCCTCACACCTGGGATATGAACCCTCAATTGGCCTGAGCCCATCATGGACGCCTCACCACCCTTGTTGGTGACAGGCATAGACAGTTGAAGTAATTTTAATTAATAAGATATGAGAGGAAATCTGCTGAGGGGAGAGGTTTTTCTTAGTCTTAAAAAGGGGCAGAACATAAGGGTGTTCCCTACTTCTGCTTGTGGATATCATCTGTAATCTGAAACTCAGTCATTTTAGGACCATAAGTTGAGGTAAATTGGATGCAAGGGTAACTGACTAAATTTCCTTCTACGTTCAAGCTGTTCTTCCTATCAAAAGGTGGAGTCTATTTCCCCTTCCCATGAGTCCTGCCTTTCTGCCGATAGAATACAGCAGAACTAATATAATGCAATTCCAAACCTAGGCCTTAAGAGAACTAGCCTGTTCCCTTTCTCCTTCACTCTGTTGGAAGCCCTACACCATATAAGAAACCTTAGGCTAACCTCCTGAATGATGGAAACTACACGAAGAGAAAGAAGCTTTATAGAGGAGAATCAAGTAACTCCAGCCAACAGGCAGCACCCAAGACCACAGCAATATGAGTGAAGGCTTCTTGGACCTTCTAGTCCCAGTTAAGCCATGCTAGCTGACACCTCAGAGAGCATGAGCTAGTCATCTCTGCTAAGCCCTGCCTGAATTCCTGACCACAGAATTGTGAACAATAAAACACCTGCTGTTTTATTTATGCAGCAAGGGATAACTGAAACATACGGTAATATTATTTGTTCTCTTGATTTGTAAAATTACCATAGCTGGTTCACAATGATCAAGATTTCGTTAATCACTCTGAAAGCTAATTATTTTTTCCCAAATATGTGTGTCTTAATGGCCTTAGCTTACAAAAGATGTTTTCAGGGGCACCTGGGTAGCTCAGATGGTTAAGCGTCTGCCTTCGGCTCAGGTCACAATCCCAGAATCCTGGGATTGAGTCCCGCATCGGGCTCCCTGCTAGGCGGGGAGCCTGCTTCTCCCTCTGCCGCTGCCTCTCTCTCTCTCTCTCTGACTCTCATGAATGAATAAATAAAACATTAAAAAAAAAAAAAGCTGTTTCCATGTATACACATCACCTTGTACTAACACTTTTTAAAAAAGATTTTATTTATCTGACAGAGAGAAAGACAGTGAGAGAGGGAACACAAGAAGCGGGAGTGGGAGAGGGAGAAGCAGGCCCCCCACGGAGCAGGGAACCCAATGCAAGGCTCGATCCCAGGACCCCGGGATCATGACCACAGCGGAAGGCAGACGCCTAACGACTGAGCCACCCAGGCGCCCCTGTACTAACATTTTTTAAATAATTAAAGGGAAGTATTTGTAACAAATGAGTTGATGACCTTGCAAGTAAAAAAACCTATCGCAAATATAAAAGGAAAATAGTAACATTTCAAGTTAAAAAATGGGAAAGGCCATTTCCTTGAAAAATCATAAATGGTCAATAAACGTAAAAAAAATACCTTATCCTCAAGGTCCCTAATCTAAATGAAATGCAAGTTAAAACATAAAGCACCACTTTTCACCTACTAGGTGGCCAAAGAAAAAATCACTAAGTCTTCTAGGTTCCGGTGAAAAATGGGAACACCCCTCGTTAGAGTCGCAGCCTGGGACACCAGAGTCTCCTTGAACGACGGGGGCTTGACTTCGGGCAGTGGTGTCTACGGCCAGACAGCGGCGTAACAGAGCCAGCACAGAGCTCTTGTAAGGCTGAAACGGTCTGCACACGGAAGAGCAACAGAAGACGCGTTAACTTTTGCCGGAGGTACTGGAAACTCACCACAATTACAGGAAAATCTTAATACTTTCCTGGGAAACTGCAGGTGAGATGATAGGGAGTGGTGTGCGGGAGGCGGGTGCCAGCGGACGAGGCCACGCTAGGAGGCAGCCAAGGCGGGGGGCGGCGCCCTCCAGGGGGGGACGACCTCTCCCAAGGGCGCCCGCCTCCCAGCTCACCCTCGCCGGGGCCTCGGCGCTCGGCGGGGCGGGGCTGGACGCCAGAGAGGGAAGGCGGTGGGAACGAAGGATCCGCGGCGCCGATTGGCTGCCTGTGAGCACGGGGCGGGGCGCACGGAGGCTCCCGAGGACGCGCGAGCGGAAGGCCGCGGGAGCGCACTTCCGGTCTTTGTGGCTCGCCGCTCCGAGTCAGCGGCTTGCGCCCTGGGCGCTGCTGGGCTTCGCGGTGAGGGACGCGGGCCCCGAGCGGAGGGAGGGCGGGGAGGGCGCGCGGCCCGGGCGGCGGGCGCGAGGTGAAGGAGCCCTGCTACCCGGGCCTGCCCATCCCCGGGTCGCGGCCCCTTGTCCGGGCGGCGTTTCCGAGCGTCCTGGGGAGCCAGAGGAGGCCAGCTCAAGCCCGTGCTTTTCCAGCGGAAAGGACAGTTGCTCCCCCACTCTGTGACTTCGCAAATGCTGTAGTTTGACCGGGCTATAAAAATAGGCTAATGCGGCCGGGCTGGCTTAATAAACCTAAACATTAGCCTAAATATTCTAATCTCTAAAGTTTAGTGTTAGGATCAAATTGTATTGATCTGTCCTGCTCTTTTCAAGGGCATACCCTCCTGTCGATAATCACCCATCCTAGAATCAGGTCATGTGTGAGCTCTGTCACACAATTTAACACATAATTATTTGTTGCCATATTTCACTCTAAAAAATGTTTACTGAGGCGCCTGGGTGGCTCAGTCGTTAAGCGTCTGCGTTCGGCTCAGGTCATGATCGCAGGGTCCTGGGATCGAGCCCCGCATTGGGATCCCTGCTGGGCGGGAAGCCTGCTTCTCCCTCTCCCACTCCCCCTGCTTGTGCTCCTGCTCGCGCTGTCTCTCTCTGTAAAATAAAATCTTTAAAAGAAAAAAAATACTGTTTACTCCCCTATATTCTAAGCTTGAGAACTGAGATTAACCTTTTTGCTGTTTTCGTGTTTCTATGATAACGGACATGTTTTTCAGCACACAGTAAGCATTTAACAAACACTTCTTGGTTAATTCCTCTGTAGTTTACTCACAAGCAAAAAACCTTTGTCTTATGCCTGGCTCACGACAGAGCCCATGGTAAGTGCCTCAGTGCTTGTTGAAGAAATGCATTGAAAACTAAATTTGATCAAATGGCAATTATAAGAAAAGTGTTTTTATTTAAATCAACTCATTTAACATGAAGTTTTTAAAATGTTACTCCCGCAAATGAAAATCAACATCATTTGCCATAGATGGAAGGTAACTACAAATATATTTTTATTATTTAATTTTTATATTTTATTTATTTTTTTAAGATTTTATTTATTTGACAGCGAGAGAGGGAACACAAGCAGGGGGAGTGTGAGAGGGAAAAGCAGGCTTCCGCTGAGCAGGGAGCCCGATGCAGGGCTTGATCCCAGGACTCTGGGATCATGATCTGAGCCGAAGGCAGATGCTTAACTGACTGAGCCACCCAGGCGCCCCTATTTATTTAATTTTTAAAGACATTATTTATTTATTTGGTAGAGAGAGAGAGCACAAGCAGAGGGAGAGGGAGAAGCAGGCTCTCTGCTGAGCAGGGAGCCTGATACCGGCCTCAATCCCAAGACTCTGGGATCATGACCTGAGCCGAAGGCAGATGCTTAACCGACTGAGCCACCCAGGCGCCCCTAAAAATAAATTTTTAAAAGTCAGCATTACTAAATCTTAGCTAGATACTGTTACCCTTAAGAAGTCTGAGGCTTATACTTTATTGAAAAGGGAGTTCTGCAAGTTTTACAGATAAGTTAAAGACATTTTTTTCTCCTTGATACCATCAGGATTGAAAGAATTGAAAAGGAAATTTCTCATTATGTAATTCATGGTAATATTGCATTCTTTTGCTTCTAAAATAATTTATGCATTAGTGGCAGAAATTCTAAATGGGTGATAAATGGGGTGAATGATCTTTAGTTTGTCACTTGATTATTATTTTAGTTAGAGTCTCAAACTTGTTTCAACACATTACTGGATGATCTTTATTGTAAGTTCTTAAAAGATTTTTTTTTCACTGCTGTAAGTTAACAGTGCTTTTCTATCTTTCAGAAAAGAAGAGAGTACTCAAAGAAACTCTGAAATACTGTACCCAGTCATAGTGAGCTTTTTGCTCCACTGTTTAGGCCAGAATGGCTATGGAATCCAGAGCAGTTTCAACCTCGGTACCTCAGAGTCCTCAGGATCAAGAACTAATACTAGTGAAAGTAGAAGAAAGCCTCTCCTGGGGTCAGAAATGTAAACAGAGTGGGAGCATCAGATCCTGCCAAGAATTGTTCCGCCAGCAATTCAGAAAGTTTTGCTACCAGGAGACACCTGGGCCCCGGGAAGCCCTGGGCCGACTCCAGGAGCTTTGCCATCAGTGGCTGAGGCCAGAGTTGCACACCAAGGAGCAGATCCTGGAGCTGCTGGTGCTCGAGCAGTTTCTGAGCATCCTGCCTGAGGAGCTGCAGATTTGGGTTCAGCAACATAGTCCAAAAAGCGGCGAGGAAGCTGTGACCCTGTTGGAGGATTTGGAGAGGGAATTTGATGATCCAGGGCAGCAGCAGGTGGGAACAGGGAGATGTGATATGTTGTGGGAAGAGAAATGTACAGACGGGAGCATGTGCGTCCTCACAGCAGTGGAATGGAAAATTGTCTCTACGGCACCAGACCCTGCAGTGACTACTATGGCCGTACCTGTCTCTGTCCTTAAATAGTTCTTTTTTCCCCTGTTGCCTATCCTGGAGATGTCGTTTCCCTCTTTGAAATTTTTACTAGGCATTTTCCCTGGGGAGTTTTTCACAAAGTTAACCATCTTTTACTGATTTCAGGGACCAGCAGTACCATGGAAGGATTTGACAGGTCTTGGAACATCCCAAGAGTTAACAAACATCCAACTCCAGCCTTTAAAGACACAGCTGAAACCCTGGGAACCTTGCCTTTCCCCCCAAAATGGTAAGAAAGTAGAAACTCATCTGGGAACTGTTATCAGGCCTCTAGTTTTGAGGATACAGAATTAATTACATTTTACAAACATGCCACACCTGAGCCTCTCACTTGTCTTACTCTAGACCAGAGGTACCCACTTCAGCAGCTTTGTATTCAGCAACCCTCCGGAAGTGTAGTCAGCCCTTCGTGTTTCAGTTTCCCTGTCATCTCTTCACTTACTCCTTGATTGTATAACTTAATAGGGTGCTAACACGTGTCTGGTACTGTGGTAGGCACTGGGTCTCTACCTTCAAGGAACTTTGACATCTAGATGGGGTGGTGGACAAGCAAAAGGGCAATGGCAATATAGTATAATAAATTACAGAATAAAAGTAGGCCCTAGGTACTATGGGGACACATGAACACACCTAACCCAACCTTAGAGGTTCAAGGAGTACTTCTTGGAGGAGGAGACACCCAAACTAAGACACCTAAACTAAGATTTGAACTATGAGTAAAAAGAAAACCAGGTAAATAGGTGGGAGGAAGAGTGTCTCATCCTAAAGGGAAAAACTGTTTTTTCTACTCACAGCACTTCTGACACTGGATGTGTGGAATTTTCCCTCACCTTAAGTAACACTAATTTTGAGCCTAATTGCCCAGAATTAGCGAAGATCCCACAGGTTAAAGTTTTGGTCCCATAAGAGTGCCTCCCTCCCCACCCCCCCACTTCAGATGCCAGTAGCATGTAATGAATCCCCAGGTCACCCACACTTCTGTCCGATTTGGCTGCAAATATGACATTCCGTGACCACCTCTTTAGGTTTCATAGTTTGCAGTAATAGCTCACAGAACTCCAGGAAACACCTTGCTTATTCTTACCAGTTTATAAAGGACAAAAGTGAACAGCCAGATGAAGAGGTACATAGAGCAAGATCCAGAAGGGTGCCAAGCACAGGAGCTTCTGTCCCCGTGAGGTTAGAGGTTCACCACTGTTGTGGCCCTTGGGTGCATTCACCATCGTGGAAGCTCTCTGAACCCCTTTGGGTTCTGGGATCGAGCCCCACATCAGGCTCTCTGCTATGCAGGAGGCCTGCTTCTCCCTCTCCCACTCCCCCTGCTTGTGTTCCCTCTCTCGCTGTGTCTCTCTCTGTCAAATAAATAAATAAAATCTAAAAAAAAAAAAAAGTTTTGAATGGAAGTGAGGTTGTGTGAAGGAGAAGTGGAAGAAAGGAGCTTGATGTGAAACAGATGAGAAATTTGGTCTTATTTAAATGCTGGTGAACATGAGTCAGCAGAGAAAGAGGGTGAAAATAATAGGAAAGGAATAGTAGCTAATTGATCAAGTGAAGTTTCAGAGGAAGCAGGAAAGAATAAACCTCAAACTGTAGATGTAGGCCTTCATATTAGAAATTCGGAGGGACCAGTATGGGCAATTAAAGAAAGATGTGTGTGGACTGTGACCTCTTTTGTGGGTAGAAGCCTCTGTTTTCTCTCACATGGTGGGTACTGAGAGTGACTAGCGAAATAAAAGTCTGTTTTTGCTGTTATCATTTCAGATTGTGAGAACAGTGAATCAGCGACCAAGAAGGACATTTCAGGAGAAAAATCACAAGGACGTCCCCAGGAACCTTCACCTGGAGGAGTTAGTGAACACAGCAGCGATTTAGAGTGGCAACAAGAAAGTGCTACAGGGGAGAAATTAAGAAGATCCCCTTCCCGAGAGGGCAGTTTTAGTCAAGTAATCTTCACACACAAATCTCTGGGAAAGAGAGACCATCATGAGCCTCAAAGCA